TTTTTTTTTTTTTTTTTTAAAGCTCATCAGTTATCATTAGTATATTTTATGTGTGGCCCAAGACAGTTCTTCTACTTACAATGTGGCCTGGGGAAGCCAAAAGATTGGACGCCCCTGCTTTAGGGCTTTTAGCTGACCCCCTAATTTGACTAGACTCTGTGTAATTCACAGAGCACCTTGCCTCTTTACCATCCAGCCATGTGCTCCCATTCTCCACTTCTGACCTGTGCTGTTGTCATACATTCTAATTCTGTCTAGTCATAAGCCTCACAATACATCGTTGTTATGTTTGCTTTAAACAAGTCATTTCTTAGATTAAAAATAAGAAAAACGTGTTTTACATTTATTCAATATTTACCATTTACAGTGCTTTATGTCCATCTGGACTTTCCTTCTGCCTCGTTATTCCTTTAGCAATGTCTTGGACAGGTCTGCCGGTGATGAATTTTTTTTTCAGCTTTACTATGTTTGGAAAATCTTTATTTCACCCTTATTTATGAAAGATATTTTTGCTGCATATGGATTTCTGGATTGATGGGGTTTTTTCCTCCCTTTCTGTGTTTTAAAGATATTCTCTATTCTGGTATAAGTTTTCTGTGGTGGTTGTTATCTCCATCCTTCTGTATGTGATAAGTCTTTCTCTGGCTGCTGTGAAGATTTTATTACTGGTTTTAAGCAAATTGATTGCAATACGCTTTGGTATAGTTTTCAAGCTTCTGGTACTTGAAATTTATTGAGCCATTATTTTGTTAAATGTTCTCCCTTTTGTCTTTTCTTCAGAAAGTGTCTAGTCAGCTGTTGATCTTACTTAGTGTAGTTTTAATTTCAGACATTGTGTTTTTCATCTCCAGTGAAGTTACTTTGGGCCTTTTATAAAAAAAAATCTCCCATATATATTTAATATGCTTAGTCTTTCCTTTTATGGACTATGAAATGTATATATAGTAAGTGTTTTACTTTATGGAATATTTTGCATTTTAATAAACATTCTTGATAAACATTCTTGAGCTTTGTTTTGAAATGTAGTTAAGTTAATTGGAACCAACATGTTAGGTAGAATCAGAACAGCCTTTTCTCTAGGGCTCATTTTCCCCACTGCTGAAGCAGTGCTCTTCTGAGTACTGTCCCTGCTATCCTGTGGATTTAGGAGAATTTTCCATTTTGGCTACTGGGAAAACAAACCGTTCCTCTCTGGGTGAGCCTGCTCTGGGCTTGCTCCCTCTCATCCTCCAGGCTGAAGATGTGGGGAAGGCCATCTGCAGGCTCACCCAGGCACTGAGGGCCACCCGCCTTGTTCTTGTTCATGTCCCTCTCGGGGATCACACTCAGGTACTGCCTGGGGTTCACGGCCTGAAACCGTTACTTCATGTATTTTTTCTTTGGTTTTTAAATTGACGCATCTGGGAGAGTGAATCTAGCTCATCATGGTTAGAAACAAAAGTCCAAGCAATTTTTTTTTCTTAAATTACCTTTTATTTTTTTTAAGTCATACAATTAGCCCAGAAAATGATGTGATGGTTTTCACATTAATTTGCTCAACGGTGTCTTGAGAGTAGGAGAAGCTGTAGGTTGTGTAACTGTTTTTCTCTATGGCATTGTGATTCTGATTCTGGAAGCCCCACTGAATCCTCATCCTTTTCGGAAGACAGATTTACTAGGCATCATGGTATGATAGACTTTGTGTAAGAATAGCTCCTTAAGAGAATGCATTTGTTAAGAAAATTTTGGGTGAGGACGAAAAGTGGCATTGTTGAAAATTAATTTCTAACATCTCTATTTCCCTTAGGAAGTAGAAGCACTATTTAAAGGAGATAATTTACCGAAATTTATAAACTGTGAATTTGCCTATAATGATAATTGGTTTATTACATTTGAAACAGAAGCTGATGCACAACAGGTAAGTTCTTTCTACCGTCACCGTATGAAGTGCATAGTTCACCTGTCTTTGGTATTGGTACCTGTGGGGACTACACTTGGGCATTGAGTTGACTTGTGATGGGAAGTTGGAATATAATCGGCAGAGGAAACCAAGTTGTAGAAACTTAAATGAATGTCTTTGTATAGACAGTTTTTATAGCAATATAAAAAGCATGTGACTTTCTAAGAACATTGTAAGCAAAGCAACCTTGGAAAATCAGTTTTGTTCTTCTGTCTGGGCAGAGAAAAGTTTCACTAATTGCAAAGTGTTTGCGGGGAAATTCGAACTTAATCTTCATCTTCCAGCGGACATCATTGTATGCTGGAAGATGCTTTTAATGGTATTGAGAAGTAAGCTCTGTAAGGAGATGTAAGGGGTTAGTAGTTTTCCTCCCCTTAAGGGAAGCATCTTATTTGTGGGGAAACTAACACATATATTATATAAAGTATTAAATGGTATAAACAATGTCTGGGGTTCCGAAAAGAAAACACAGAAACCTGAAAGATGGGTTTTAATTGGATAGAAGGGGAAAAGGGGAATGGAAGATAACCATGTTTGTGGAGCAGAGTGTGAGCTCTGCTAGTCTGCATGGCAAATGTGGTCAGGCGAGATTGCATCAGAGATGCAGAGCCTTCACAGTTTTATAGGGGTTTAATGTAGAATTAATGTGGAGAAAGAACAAGGAGATATGTAAAGAATGACTTCTGAATGTTATGATCATAATCCTTTTCCTTCCTGTCTGGTATTTCCTGAACTGCATACTCCTAACCTGAAATTGGGATTCATGCCAGGAACTAAGTTTTCATCATTTTCCGCCAGATCAAGATTCTTAGCCAGTGGTCTTTGGGAGACTTCTGTGGTATCCATTAATACTTAGAAAATTGTATATAATCTTGTTTGTGAGAATTTGGGGTATACATTACATAGCTCTTATACCGTTATTTTAAGGGATCTGTGACCCAGGGAGTGTCAAGAATCGTTATTCTAGGTTCTGTTCACCGTAATTTAATTATATATTTCCCTGTTTGAGCTACTGAGTGAATTATTCGTGCATCTTATTCATAAGGTTAATTGAATGGAACTTTGCACTTTATTTTGCCGTTAGGCTTATAAATACCTTCGAGAAGAAGTCAAAACTTTTCAAGGAAAACCAATTAAGGTAAGCAAGACCATTGGTTATACTTGGTTTATTTGCAAATTGGTGTTCTTAAGTATTCGAATAGAAACTTGCATATTTTCAAACAGGCGCGGATTAAAGCAAAGGCGATAGCTATAAACACATTTTTGCCAAAGAATGGATTTAGACCCCTGGACGTGAGCCTGTACGCCCAGCAGCGCTATGCGACATCGTTCTACTTCCCTCCCATGTACAGCCCCCAGCAGCAGTTCCCTCTGTACAGCCTGATCACGCCCCAGACGTGGTCAGCAACGCACAGCTATCTCGACCCACCCTTGGTAAGTCTTTTCGTTACTTGGAATTTATGTTGTAGACACTATGCTAGATACTTGAATCCTCATCTAATAGGAAGCCGGACACATGTGCAGTCTGACATAGTAAAAGAGACCTTCAAGTTATGTGGGGGATTTTAAATTTAGCTGAGAACAGAGCTTGTACATAAAGAACGTTGGATTGCTGGGCTCACAGTCCTTGCCCAGCCCTTCTCCCCTCTTGACATGCACCTCTTAGCAAGACACAGAATTCGCTAAGAGCTGTAATGTACCCTGTGTCCGCCACACGGAGGACAGTGCAAGGGGGACTGACTGAGGTGGAAGAGGGGTTGAATAGGCTTTTGACAGCAAGGACAAGAAGGCCTGCTGTCTCACCAGCCTTATTTTACTCACTTCTCAACAGCCTTAGAGTTGGTTGACATGATTAATTTTTTATAGATTTTGGCCTTTGTGAAGGCCTGTGGTTGGCATTCCTGAGTCTGTACTGGGTCTAGACATTTTCTCTGTGTGTGCTGCTATAGATGCTTGAAAGATCAGGCGGGTCTTTGGTGGGAATTAGCATGAGTTTGGTGGCTCTGGATGTATGAGAGTCAGCAATACACTGATAAGCATGTCCTTGAAACTGAAGTCTAGGTTAAGAAGTGAAGATGGTTTATGGACTAGTGGTTTGCATGAGGTAGCAATGCAGGTGAGTTGCAATTAGAGAGATCGAAGGGTAGAATACATAGAAGGTTATGGTCAGAAAGCAGAAATTGAGTTACTAGCTTTGACAAGAGTTCGTGTCCAGGGTTTTGCTGTGGACTAAGTCAGGGAAAGACTTGGTGGTCTCTCAGGATCATCCGGTGGTTGGGAGTCAGGCACCCAGATGTGCAGGGACATCACTGCTGACAGGCGGGAAAGGAGGGTAGGTTCAGAGCAGAGAGAACTTGAGAAAACAGCACCTGTGTACACTGGAGAGTAAAAATAAGGGTCCATGAAACAACTCAGGCTGGAAAATCAAGCATGCCAGGGAGGCACAGGTACAGAATACCAGAAACTGACAGTGTCGTCAGGGATCGTGTTGTAATCCAAGTCGAGCTTTTCAGGTTGAGTTTTTTCAGAAGGAATCAAAGAGAAGTTGCATGAACAGAAGATGGTCATGGATTTGTGGGCGTCTGAGCTGAAGCGTAGACAGGTGGCAGGGAGTTCGGGAGCCAGCTGGATGTTTCCAGGCCTAACTGTGCAGGTGCTTAGCTATTCTGAGGCATGTGTGCTTTGGCCTGGTGCTGTGGGAAGTTGTCTAAGGTTTCTAAGCAGAGAAATGAAACCATACTCCATTTAGAAAATAGGTCCTGGCCTGGCGCAGTGGCTTACACCTGTAATCCTAACACCTTGGGAGGCTGAGGCAGGCGGATCACCTGAGGTCAGGAGTTCAAGACCAGCCTGGCGAACATGGTGCAACCCCGCCTCTTATAAAAGAAAAAAAAAATAGAAAATAGGTCCTACGGCCATGTGAAGGGCAGGCAGGGACAGGATGTGTCAAGAGAGATTTTCAGAGGTTCCCCGTCTCCTCCTGAGTCTGGAACAACTGTACTAGAAGAACCTTTGGCAAAGTTCCTTCTGTCTCTTTTGAGTAAATCCTAATGGTAAGAAAAGTTTCTGGTTTTTTGAAGCAGTACATTCTGTAAAAGTGAACACATAGCTGAATACTTCTTTTTCCCAAAAATATATCACGAGAGAACCTCACAGGGACTTAAGTCCGTAGGCTCTGGCAGTTGAAGAATCATCCCCGCACGTGGCTTGCCATGCTTGTCCTATTTCATTCTTCCTGCAGCAGGTGCTTCTCTCATTTCTTTAATCATGGTTGACGCTGACTGGGATTTCGTGGGGTCCTGGATCAGTTTACGGCCTTGTCTTGTCTTGTGCGTTGTCCTTGTGGCGTGTGACAGCCGCCTGGTCCTGCTCTGGGTCTGTGAAACTGGGTTCTCCATCGCAGCCTTTTACTTGCTCTAAAACGTGTGTCCCTTGTTCTGCAGCTGAAGAGATCATGCCTATTAATCCCCAACAAGTTATAATAGGAAGTTATTGTGTTAATAATCAACTTTTTTTTATATATGACCAATTTTATTTTTTAGCTTCAGCAAAATTACTTGAGTATCAGGGCTCTGCCTGTAAAATGCCTTTCATGAAATGATTAGTCTTCACTGCTCTTGCCATGATTTACAGCCTGATATCTAAGTCTACATTAAGGACTCTTCTTGTGTGATTTATTTTTAAATAGCTTGATTCTTACAGAATATAGAGTTTCTCAAGTAGCAAATTGGAGATTCTAATGAAGTTTTAAGTGTTCCCCTTTTGTATGATGTTATTTTGGTCCTAAACTATCTCTAATATTCTTTTTCTGTTCTATCTTCCAGTTAGCTCTAATTAAGGAGAATTACTTGCTTTTTTCCTTTTGTATTTCTTTTTCTTTTTTTTTTTCCCATACAAGAAGGGGGTCTATGCGTATCTCTGTTACTTTAGTGACATGGAAGGTGTGGACTGGAAGGCCCTCAGGAACTAAGTGCCCTGCGTCAGGAGCATTAGGAGCAAAATGTCAGTGATTCAGAACGTACTGGAAACCATGGGTCCAGAAGCCAGAGAATTAGAGTGATTGATCTCTTTTTTTTTTTTAAAGGAACTGTTTTAACACTAAGTTTTATTTCATTTTTGTATGTGTGTAGATTTTAGAAATAGTTCACCAATACTTAAAATTCTATGCTTAATATTTTTAACTACTTAAGATCTTTTAGAGGTTCTGTAATCTTTCTAATGCTCTTCTGAATCTTATGTCAGTATATTTGCATGCCATACTTACCTTGTGACTTAGGGAATAATGATGATCTGAAAATACCCTGATCAGCAGAGCAGGACTTGTGTCGAGGCAAAGGTAAAAGTGCTGTCCAAGGCTATGGGTATATGAAGCTGAATGAGCAGCAGTAAGTGTGCAGGTGTCCCTGAGCTTCAGGACGTTGAGAAGTTGTATTAAAGTCATCAGGAATCAAGAACTGTTGACTTCCTGCCAGTAATGGAGATAGTACAGCCTTTGGACTTTTTCAGACTGATGTGTCAAAGGTCACAACACCTGTTGGAGCCCACGCAGTCTTGACCACGACTTTCCTCTCAGTGCCAGCTTCCGTGTGTGTCGTTCCTCCTCCTCACTGGATTTTTGCAAGGATTGGCTGAAAGGATGTAGAAAAGCTCTAGCCTACTTCTAAACAACACCCATTGGTTGTTCTAAACAACATCCATTAAAATTATAAGATACATGTCTCAACGTGGGTCATGACCCTGACAAGATCAAGAAATGTACTCGGTTTCCACAGATTTGTTGGTATTAATCAAATTGAAGTCTGTTTTTTAGTTTATTTACTTGTCTGTTTTCAAATGAATCTAGGTAACTCCATTTCCAAATACCGGATTTATAAATGGGTTTACGTCTCCAACGTTCAAGCCTGCAGCGTCTCCTCTGACTTCCCTCAGACAGTATCCTCCTCGAAGCAGGCAAGTTCCGAGGTAGTCCTAGCGGTTTTGGGCTTTACCCTACTGCCCTTCCAGAGCTGGGATGAGAGAGCTTTGATCACTAGTCCTGCTCCTTGCAGACAGAGCTGCCGAAAGCACACAGCTATATTCTGTAAAGACCGAGCACCACAGTCTGCCATGGGTGCCTGCTCAAAGGATAGATTCTCTCAGAGGAGGCTTTGGGGCAACTTGTACACATTAGATGTGCCTGCCTTCAGTTTGGGCCTGGACTGAAAATCAGCTAAGCAGGATGGTGGCACATTGTTAATAGATTTGCATTATCCTATATGTTATGGGTTAACCATTCCAAAGCCTGTTTTTATTAAACGGCAGATTTCAGCTTAAATATTCCATGTCAGTATGCATGTTATATAATACCGTGATCGTTTTATAACTGAACACATGAAACCATTTTTATTTACAGGAATCCTAGTAAATCTCATTTGCGCCATGCGATTCCTAGTGCAGAGAGAGGACCTGGGTTATTAGAAAGTCCTTCAATATTTAACTTCACTGCAGATCGATTAATTAATGGTGTCCGGAGTCCACAAACAAGGCAAGCAGGTCAAACTAGAACACGGATACAAAACCCTTCAGCATATGCCAAGAGAGAGGCTGCACCTGGGCGTGTGGAGCCAAGCAGTCTTGAATCCTCTCCTGGTTTAGGGAGGGGAAGGTGAGTTGTTGAGCAGCTACTGTGTACCATCATAAACTACTAATATTTTAGATATTCTTTAATTTAGATATGTTTTATAATTGTCTTTAAATATTGCTAAATCTAACAGAAGGCTATAAACATAAAGGGATTTATGTAATTGCTGAGACTTAAATGGCTTCATCTTTTTTGTATTATAAAATAGCTCAGTGAGAACTGTAGATATTTTAGATATTGTAGATGTCGTAGACTCCACCCTGTGTGCCTGCAGTCTTCCCTTAGCAGTGTCCCTGGCTCACCAGGCCCCTCTGTGAGGGCGGTGTCCAGGCTCTGCCCCATGGCTCCTGGCCTGGCGCCCTCCAGCCGAGTGTGCAGCAGCACTGCAGGTGGAGACTGGAGCAGGTAACCAAGTCCCATCTCATCCACGTTGAGACCAGCCAGGATGGGTCGTGGCTGTGCTCTCTGCCCACTGTTTTTGGTTTTGTTTAATTCTGGGGGGGCATCAAGACTGTAGCAGGTTTTTGATTTTGTTTTTTTGACAGGGTCTTGCTCTGTTGCCCAGACTGGGGTACAGTGGTGTGATCATGACTCACTGCAGCCTTGAACTCCTAGGTTCAAGCAATCCTGTTGCCTCAGCATGCTGAGTAGCTAGGACTTCAGATCCACAACACCATGCCTGGCTTTTTTTGTGTGTTTGACCCCCCCTCCCCCCACCCTGAGTCTTTTTTATTTTTTTATCTTATTTTATTTTTTTTTTTGCCTGGCTGTTTTTAAAGTTTTTTGTAGATGCAGGGTCTCACTGTGCTGCCCAGGCTGGTCTCAAACTCCTGGCCTAGAGCCATTCTCCCGCCTTCATCTTCCATAGTGCTGGCCTAACAGGTGTGAGCCACTTCACGTGACCATTGTTGATCAGGCCAGTTAGTCTTCTCAGTCCTTGCCTTGATAAGGACCATCAGGAGTTTCCTCTCATAAGTGACAAGCAAGTGACTCGACTTCCTGAGCTTTGCTAAGTTTTCTGTACACAAAGTGCACAGCACCATGCCTCATGCGCAAGCTCCTCTTCCCACCTGCCACAGTGCACGTGCCCTGTGCAGTGAGAATTCAACATAAAGAGGCATGAGAAGCATCTCATTTCCTGCCTGTGATGATTAAATGAGCACATGGGAGGCCCTGCAGGGATTGCGCAGTGGCATAGGAAGGTGCCGTGGTTGGGGAGAGCCAGCACTGGGCTGTGTCTCACAGGAAACACGGCGTCAGATTGGCTTAACAGGCCTTGGAGATGCAAAGCCAAAAGGGGCCTACTGTGTCATGCAGAGTCAGCGACTTCAGGGAGCAGCTCTTATCCCTGGGGCTTAGTTTGGGGTTCTTAGGGCCCAGAAGCTTGGAGAAAGGGGGCCTGTAGAGCTGCGGCTCAGACTTCGGGCAGAGCCCCACTCATCAAAGCCATCCGGCTCCCTCTGAGGGGCATCAGTTTTGGGCATGGTGTGAAAGGAAGCAGACTAGTCGGACAAGGTCCTTGGCCTCAGCCTCCTGCGCCCTTCAGCATGCCCTGTTCATAAGAGCATCACTAGAAGCTTCCTGGCAAATGAGAGTGGGGTTTGTTGAATTCCAGCCACCTCACAAAGTGTATACAGGTGGCTTTGAAGGTGAGGGGCCAAACCTTGCTAACGAATGTGGTCTGCCTTTCAATAAGACTTGAACTTCCAAATGCAATTGTAACAGGTTTATGCTTTTGCCTAACAGATGCAGATTTTGTACCAGTGGAGACCCTCTGTCTCCCCACCAAATGAGGATGACTGTTCTCCCACCCGAAACCTAAGCACTGCAGCAGGGAGTGGTTTAGGAAGCATACATCACACGGACACAATGGGCGGGGAAAGTGCATGCGGCTCCCACAGCCTGTTTCTGCAATGGGTCGTGAAGCCAGAGCCGACTTGTAACCTCCTCCTTCCCTCTGTCTTTAGAAGGAGCTTGTGCTGCTTCGCAGGGAGGTGCTCCAGGCTTTGCTTCCCCTGAGAAACCTGATCCACAGTAGCCATGCCTCAACCTCCCCCTTTTGGGAGGTTTTGTTTTTTTTCCATTAACTTCCTCTATTGGACCAAAGTGCTAAGATGCCCTGGTGAACCTCTTGGAGTCCAGACACACTTCCCTACCCTTGTGTGGGAGCTGGATTGAATGGCATGAGGAGCCCCAGGCGCAAGGTGTCTTGCTTCCTTGGTGGAGCTACCATTAGGTTCACCTGGGGGAAGCATGCCTCTTCAGGGTCTCAGGCCTTCACAGCACCACGTTCAGAGTCGCGGGTGTCACAGTAATGTTTCCTCAGTGGTGCCAGGTCCACCCTGGCTCCCTTGCTGCCACTTATGAGCTGGAACCCCTTATGGCCCTGTTGCTGAGCCTTGGCTTGGCCAGCCTGTTCTCTGCACGAATGGGCACTGACAGCTGACAGTGTTTTGAGGCCGAAGGTGGGCTTCTGGGTCTGACACGGGTTACGTGGAGCCCAGCGAGGGTGTGGGAGTGTTGGCTGGGCCCACTGATGGTGACTGGGGTAGGACCCTATGGCAGGTAGGTGTGTGTCCTGGACACCACTGTGTTCCAAGGGATGGTGCTCCTGCGTTCCAGCCAGCAGTGATGAGCAAGCTGCCCTTGGCAGAGGAATGCCCTGTGCCGAGCCCTGCAGGACATCCTTCTCCCATGTTACTGATATCCTTCCCTTTGGCACTCAGGGTGGTGACTCTGGACAAGCAGGTGCTGGCACCATCCATCTCACACCCCTACCAGGTCCCCATGACCAGCTGAGTCCTGTCCCACTCAAGACTCTCATCCCGCTGTTAACCCTAGCTCTGGTCATGAGCCAGTGTCGCCCCACCTTTCCGCTACTTCTGAGTCCTGTCACAGCGGAGTGGGAGTTCAGCTCCCTGGGTTTTGGGAGCACCTTCAATTAGGGAGTGGTGCTGAGCTAGGTGTGTACTGCGGTAGCTGTCCTTAATGCAGGCCAGGACAAGGAGCACCAAGCTACCTATTCCTACAGGAGGGAGGGTTGCCAGGATTTGTGCCCCGCCTGTGGCTCAGTGCCCATCCATATCCCATACTCTAGCCTGCGGTCTCCTCAGGCCCAGTAGAGAGCCAGGAGCTATTTCTATAATGTTTCCTGTAGGAGATAACGTGGGTTTGCTCTAGAACCCTAAAGGTTTGTGCTTCCTTCCCCCAGAGGGGCTGGCCTGAGGGTCCACGGAGTATTCCAATGTTTGGCCATCTTAGGCAAGACTGCTTTTTGGTTTTCTGTAAATGAAGGAATTAGTTAAGACTGTTTCTTAACTCCTTTCCAGGTTATGTAATACAAGGCCTTTGGGGGAGTCTTTGCATTCTATTAAATTATAAAGTGAAATTAATGTGTGTCATGTGACTTGTTAGATTACATAAGCCTGTCCAGGGAAATGAGAATGTCTTGGCCATCCTAGTGTCTCAGGGCTCCATGTGAATGAAGTCACCACTTAGTCAGTGTCTGTCCATCTGGTTATCAGCTGTGTGTGTGGTGTGGCTTTGCTGCCTGCAGGGGCAATCCAGAACAAGATTGCTGAGGCTCGAGGGTGGGGACAGGAAGTCTTTGCGTGCCTTTCGTGGAAGGGATCAGCCATTGAGGTAGTGGTGGTGGAAGCTGAGAGGGCAAAGGATATTTAAATCTAAAGGGATGGGATAGGGTGTTTGGGGCCTTTTAAATTCTGATGTAAAGCAAATCTGCATTGGAGAAATTCTCACCACCATTTTAAACAACTCACTGATGGTGCTTAGGCTCGTATTTTATGTATCTTTGTCATTTCGACCCAGTAGATCTTCAGTACTCATGTCTCAACAGACATCCCAAAGAGGCACTAGGGAGATGGCTTCAGTCAGTGTTTTCCTTTTTTGTTACTTTCCTGGACTCCTGCATTATCCTGTTGCTGTAAACTTTGTGTTGTTCTGCTTATGCTTCTTAAAGTTGGGATTTTAGAATCAAAAGTCATCTTTGTTAGTGTTAAAGACTGAATTAATGTGCACTTTGGTTATGTGAGCGCAAACGTGCTCAACAATAAATTCTCCCAAGTGGGGGAAAAAAATAACAATCTTTCACTTTTCACTCCTCTAGGAAGAATTCCTTTGGCTACCGGAAGAAAAGGGAGGAGAAGTTTACAGTGAGTACATAAAGCATATGCTTCTTTACAAGATATTTAAATCTAATTTATACCAAACAAACCTGGTAAGGTAGTTTTTATCAGTTAATTCCAGTTGGAATTAGTGAATTCCTGTAACCATTTGGACTAACAGGGCGAGCATCTAAACATTGGTTATGAAACGCAGGGGCACTGTTGTTCCTGATGTGATGTTTTCCCACAGCCGTTTCTGTTTTGTTTTGTTTTGCTTTGCTTTGCTGATGCATGTGTTCATGACTGTGACCTGCTTAGAAGCTTCAGCATGTGGCCCCGTGTTGTACTGATGACAGAGTGTACGCTCATTGTCTTCAGTGCATGTGTTCAGGACCTCAGAAAGGTACAGATGCTGAAAAGTGTGTGAGCCTTGGGTCTAACCATGCTCATGGGACCTGACCAGTACTTGGACCTCACCAAGACGCGCTCAGATCCTAGAGAATTTTAACACTGCCTTCCAAGTGAAGCCCCATCTGTTGTAACTCCAACATCAGGACAGTTGTTGCCGGCCCATTTTGCTTCTACAAGTTGAGATTTAAATACATTTTTGGGGAAGGTTGTCTCTAATAATGCTTATCTTCTGAAAAGCTATGGTCACCTCAGCAACATGCCGAGGGTGTTTAAAACTGCTTTGCCATCATAGTGGCCATGTGTAACTTACAGCTTTGCAGGATTACTTTGAGCATCGTGTTCGCAATACTAGGTTATAGAGAGCCAGTTGCCAGCTACTTAGTAGGCACAAGCTTACTTCCAAGGGCACCTAACTGGGAAAAGCTAAGCTAAAATTAGGCGCCTGTACCATGGAGCAGAGAAACAAGAGGAATGCCCAGCACAGACTGGGATTCGGATCAGCCTGAATTCATTTTCTTCCTTTGACCTGCTTTCACTTGAGTTCTGGCATGCATATTTTCTCTAGAATCTACTGATGTAGGGAATCACCTTCCTGTGGTATAAGTTAGGTGAATTCTAAGAGAGCTTTGCATTCTAGTCGAAGTAGCTCATTTTTCCAACCAAAAATACTTGTATTCTTTAGTTAACATAAACTCATTTCTAAACTAAATAGAAACTCATTTCCGCTTTCTGTGCCATGTGTCCTTCAGCCAAGGAACTGTTTACTCACAAAATGACTGCCAACTTGTTAAAGCAGGTCGATAGATCATTTTCCAATAAAAAGGTATCATTGCCTTTCTCTTGAGATTTGGGCTTGCAAAGTATACTCACTTCTTGTTATACTGAGTTTGCTTTCTTGAAGTCAAAGAATCTGATCAGAATTTGTTATCAAATACTGTGTTTTTAATTATTTAAAAATAAAACCTTTAAGTTGATTTTCAGAGAATTCAAGCTCCCCTTTTGTTAAACCACTTTTTTGATACGAATATGTGTAACATTTCTTACACAGGTTGTGGAGAGTGGAGAAAGTGTCATATTTTGTTTTTTTACAGTTATCTTTGTGACTTACATGAAAAACTATGTGTAATCACAATACTTGTCTGGAAATGGGAAAGTTTAATGTCTAGACCCAGGCTGCCCTGCTTTCCATCTGATGGGCTGGAGTCACTCCAGAGCGCCTTTCTTGCCTTTAGCTGCCCTGCCGTTCGTGAGTGCTGGTAGCCACGGGTGAATGGCTCTTTGGATGGCACCTTAGCCTTACTGTGTCCTTTTTGACATGTTTCTTGGGCGGCAGCAGCCTTGAGATTTCAGTTTCACAGCTCTGCTCTAGGTGGTTGAAGCTGCTTGGGAGAGGACCTTCGATTGGGTGAGGAAGCGCTTGTCTGGGTTGAATGATCTGCGTGTTGTTTTTGCAGATATTTTCCCAACAGGTGTGGAAATGAGAAGTTGCCTGGCCTTCTATTTCCATACCATGACCCTGGGGTGTCATTCTGTTGCAGAGCAGCCAGACACAGTCTCCAACGCCACCAAAGCCTCCATCGCCAAGCTTCGAGCTGGGGCTATCCAACTTCCCTCCGTTACCTGGAGCTGCGGGCAATTTGAAGACAGAGGACTTGTTTGAAAACAGGCTATCTGGCTTGATAATAGGATCATCCAAAGAAAGGGTAAGGGATCTGTTACATGTCTAATGGTTGTCAACACTGTCTAGGTACGGGTTCCATGTCAGGCTCTTTACCGAGCTCTTTATACATGTTTGTTTTTAATACTCAGGAGAGGCTTGGAGGCCAGGTGATTGCAGAGGTCACACAGATTTGGAGTAAGGCCAGCCTTGAACCCAGGGCTGGGCCTTCTACTGAACCTTGCTGTCTGATGAAGTCCAAGGTAGAAAGCTGTGCCATGACATGCCGTATAGACCCTTTCTCTCACCCAGAAACTTAGATTGAATTGTTATCATTTTTATTTAGACCTGCCTTTGTTTTATAAAAAAACAGAATGAAATAGAAAAATCTGAATTACATTGGAAATCATTAAAATGCATAGTGATCTACGTGAGACAGGAGCAAGAAGCTTGGGAGGACCTACACTGAGGTCCTCAGTGTAGTGTTGGTGGTTTCTGGTAAGGTCTGGGCTGCCCCACGGGGTGCTCCCGCCAGGGCAGTGAACATCATCCCAGGAGCCATTCCGAGCTGCAGATGCCAGAGGACACTCAGCCCAGAGCTCCTGGTCTCTAATGTGCTTAGCGAGGTAAAGGGACTGGTCCAGTTGCCACACCTGGCGTTTGACGGCTCTGGAAGGTGCAGAGAAACTTTCTGCCCAGTTACTTACTGTGCACAGGAAGAGCCTGCCAAGTACTCGTGGTTGCCTTCGTCTCCTGTCCCAGGGGCCCTTTCCCCAGCTGTGCCTCAGAGTCACTGCGGGTCTATTCCATGCCACATGACCATGCCACCTGCTACCCCACTCAGGTCTGCAGAGTCAGCATCTCTTCCTCCCCAGGCTTTCGGGAAGGCACCGTAGTAGATAGAACAGTTCCTCAGTTTCTAGGGCAGAATTTAAGGTGGATTTTGAGGTAGTATCTTTAGGCTAAAGCGAGGTGACGTGTCTCTTCCTTTTCATATTGGTACATGGTCACACTCCTGTTTTCAACCTTGGAGGTTGAGTGCATTCCAGAATTCTGTCACATAGCCTTAAATTGCCACCCCATAATTTCTGAGGTATTCGTGCCCTGAGAAGAAATGCACTTGAAAGACCATGAATTCCAGTTTTCAAACTGTGGCCTATACCCCTTGGTACTGAGTGGAGGAGAAGAGGCAGGCCTGCTTCAGAAACAGCAGCTACTGCCGCGCCCATTTTGAGTTTCTGTGTAACGTTTCTCTTGAAAAAAGAATTGCTGCTTTGAAAAGCCTGCCCCTGAGCCTCATGCCACCAGCTAGGTGCAGCAGACTCCATTGCTGCTGCTGCTTGGGAGCTTCTTAAGTCGACAGCATGGCCTGTGAGTTTCAAAGTAGGGTGGAGACTGCAGAAATGATGGGGTTCAGCCCTTCCCCTATTGACATGGAGCTTGTGATGGTCACTCTGACTTGCTTCATGAGTGCAGTTGTGGATCTGCATTTCAGTTGCATTGGGACAGAACATAGCCTGAATTTTTTTATTTTTATTTTTTGAGATGGAATCTTGCTCTGTCACCCAAGCTGGAGTGCAGTGGCATGACCCTGGCTCACTGCAACCTCTGCCTGCCAGATTTAAGCAATTCTCCTGCCTCACCTCAGCCTCCCGAGTGGCTGGGATTATAGGCAGGCACCACCATGCCAGGCTAATTTTTGTGTTGTTAGTAGAGAGTAGGTTTCACCTTGTTGAACAGGCTGGTCTGGAACCTCTAACCTCAGGTGATCCGCCTACCTTGGCCCCCCAAAGTGCTAGGATTATAGGTATGAACCACCGCGCCACCCGGCCCTTACACTGAGTTTAAAATGAACTTTTGCAAAAGGAGTCCTTTGCCATCCTGTTTGCACCAAGCTGGATTCCTGCTGCTCAAGCACAGGAGTCGCAGCAGGTACTGGTTCTCGGGCTGGAAGGGCTCTCAGTCTGTTGTCCGCCTTCATTTAAGGGCAGAAGTTTGAAGACCGCCTGCCCTCCTGCCTTTTTTAAGTTGCATGACAAGTGTGTCATGATGTCCCATGTGAATAAGATCAAGCACAGATAAAATAGCCACTGCACAGGGAGGGGCTTGCTGGCTGGAGTAAGGAGGGAATAAGTTTCACTTAGTCCTTAGCTTTCTGACCGTGGACGGATTAACTTAGATGTATTGGGCCTCAGTTTCCCCATCTGTTGAGATGGGGGCATTAGCCCACCTGCTTCCTGGGGTTGTTGTGAATTCAGGGACAGCTGCTGTCAGTGCCTGCCACCTGCCTCAGGGAGCCCACATTTATACAGATGTGGAGGCACTGATCATTTTTTATCAGCTGTGTGAATGAGTCATGTTGAACAGTGTTAGGACTCAACACCCAGGAGATGTGTGTGTGGTTTTGTGCCACACCATGCTGGGCCCAAAGTGCCAGGTGGGTAAGATGTGTTTGATGACTGTTCGGTTAAGAAATAAGCCATAAAAAAACAATGAGTTCGTGTCATTTGTAGGGACATGGATGAATCTGGAAACCATTCTCAGCAACCTGACACAAGAACAGAAAAACACCACATGTTCTCACTCATAGGCGGGTGTTGAACAGTGAGAACACATGGACACAGGGAGGGGAGCATCACACACTGGGGTCTGTTGAGGGGGAACAGGAGAGGGACAGTGGCGGGTAGGGAGGTTGGGGTGGGAAAATGCGAGGTATAGGTGATGGGGGGATGGAGGCAGCAAACCACATTGCCATGTATGTACCCATGCAACAATCCTGCATGTTCTGCACATGTACACCAGAACCTAAAGTGCAATTTTATATATATATATATATATATATATATATATATATATATATATACATATATATATAGAAGAAATAAGCTTGTAGATCATCATTGCAGGAGAGCAGATAAGGGCCCGTGACGGAAGAGCAATGGGGCATTTGCCAAGAAAGAGAAGGGTGAGTGCTCTGTGGGGCAGAGGACAGTCCCAGGCTCTTTGTGACATTTTTGCTGTAGAAGACTCTCTTTCCCTATGTCCTCGTGCCTCTCTCCCAAGGCTGTTCTCAGGTGGGGTGAATGGGCACTGGTACCAGCTCCGCTTAGTGCCGGCAGAACTCTGATGAACACTCTCGACCCTGTTTCAGACCCTCAGTGCAGATTCGAGCATGAATACTCTTCCTGTAGTGGTCTCCAGAGAGCCCTCGGTGCCTGCGTCTTGTGCTGTATCAGCAACATACGAGAGATCCCCCTCCCCAGCTCATTTACCCGAGTGAGTATTGGTGTTCTACCAGCGCCTTGGTGTTTACTGACTTGAGTGGCCTGTGATGTTGCATGAGATTCAAATATTGGGTGGCATTTTTACAGTGATCCCAAGGTGGCGGAGAAACAGAGGGAAGCCCACAGTGTGGACAGACTTCCTCCCGCCCTCACTGCGACAGCATGTAAATCGGTGCAGGTGAACGGAGCCGCCACGGTACGTACCTCGTGCCTGCCTTCCTGCACGACAGCCGCGAGGCTCTGGTGTGAACAGACGCTGCGCACTCCTGCACCTGCTCGTTTTTTAATCACATCTAATTTGGTGGGTTTTTATTTGGATCTGTGTTGTGTTTCCTGTACCAAATACCTTTAACATTTGCTAGTAATTTCCCACTACTCCAGTTCTTTCTTGGACCACGACGTAGTCCTTAATTTCATTGTTGGTCAGTAGAGGTTTCTTGAGTAGTCACAAGACCCTAGCTCCTGTTTCTGTGTGTGTGTCTGTGTGTGTGCGTGCACACATGTTGTGTGTCTGATGAAGAGAAAGGAAGAGTAAGATGGTGGCCTAACCACCCGCCGATCCCTGTGGGCCCAGCAGGCCTGAACCCCAGCGACTTCTTTTCTGCTGGTTTCCCTACTGGGTGAACCATGGCCTCACTTACTCTGAATTGTGTCTTCTGTAGTTTAATCTTGGGTGAGCTTTTTCCTTGATTTGGTAGATTAATCCATTATTGTCCCCTGGGCTGAGTCTTAAAAAGAATTTTTTAATAAGCTAAAGTTATTAAAGGCCGGGCCGGGTGCGGGGGCTCAGGCCTGTAATCTCAGCACTTTGGGAGGCTGAGGCAGGGGGATCACAAGGTCAGGAGATCAAGACTATCCTGGCTAACACGGTGAAACCCCATCTCTACTAAAAATATAAAAAATTTGCCAGTCGTGGTGGTATGCATCTGTAGTCCCAGCTACTCGGGCGGGTGAGGCAGGAGAATTGCTTGTACCTGGGAGACAGTGAGCTGAGACCATGCCACTGCACTCCAGCCTAGGAGGCAGAGCGAGACTCTGTTGTTCCCGCCCTCACTAAAATACTATGAAGGCGATAGTTTTGTAGGTGAGTGAAATATTTTAGTTTAGCCTTTACGCTTCCACTTATCTGAAAACCCTCTTATACATTTCTGTGAAGATTTTAGCTGCCTTCATCATTCTTACACATTTCCAGTTCTTTGTAGTTTGAAATGTGCAGACCATTTTTATTTAAAGACTGTTTTTGGAGTTTACCTTTCAAGGTTGGGTACCACGTGAGAGTCCATTGCTCGCTGTGGGCACTCGGGACACCCCTCTGTTGTCCTGAGGTGGGGTGGTGAGCACAGGCAGCATCAGGACTCCTCCTAGGCTTCCACATTGCTCAAGCAGGCATAGGGCTGGATAGGGCATGGTGTTCAGTCAGCCCTTTTCTTCTCATGCCTTTTCTAATTTTATCCATTTTTTAGGCATTATTAGAGTAGCACAGAGGGAATGTTATACTGCAGAGGAAACCAAATCATTGAATTTTATGAACTTTCTAGAAGTTAAAAACACTAGTGAAGATGGAAACTTAGTTACAATTGAAAACTCTTTTATCTTAAGTGAGCTTGATTTCCTGTCTTGTCCCTTGAGGCACGGTTTCACACAGGTAACCCGGAACTGTCTGTTTTCAGGAATTGCGAAAGCCCAGCTACGCAGAGATTTGTCAGAGAACGAGTAAAGAGCCTCCTTCTTCCCCATTGCAACCCCAAAAAGAACAAAAGCCAAACACTGCTAGTTGTGGGAAGGAGGAAAAGAAGCTGGCAGACCCTGTGGAGAGATACCGGGAGCCCCCAGCCCTCAAGTCCACACCTGGAGCCCCCAGAGACCAGAGGCGGCCGGCAGGGGGCCGACCCTCGCCCTCAGCCATGGGGAAGCGTCTCAGCCGAGAGCAGAGCACTCCCCCCAAGTCTCCTCAGTGAAAACCGTACGTCTGGGAGGGGTCGCAGAGCGCTGTGTTAACCACAAATGAGACACTCTTCCCACTCAGTGCGAGGGCGAGCCGCTGGTTAGGAGCTTGCAGTGTCTGAGGCCCGTGGGATCCTCAAGTTGGTTTTCTTCTGTGAGTTGGATTCTCCCCTCTTGAAAAAAAATCAATTTTTCAGGATTTAATTAATACAAACCTTATTTTAGGTTGGTGCTTAACTGGAGGTGATGTATAAGTCTGATTTTTTTTTTCCAAGATAGAAAATGCATTTATCCTAACAAATTGGTATTTTTTATTAAGCCTCCATGTGGCTCTGAACTTCGGCAAGCTATATATAGTGAGTTTTTCTAAATTAAGGGAACTATACTACTTTTTTTTTTTTTTTTTTTTTTTTTTTTTTTTTTTTTTTTTTTTTTTTTTTTTTTTTTTTTTTTTTTTTTGGTAACTAGTCTGCAAGTGCGTATCTCTAGAACGTCCCCACAGATGAATGAGGGCCAGTGGCCCTGGCAGAGGCAGGTGTGGCCTCATGGAGGCAGTGCTGGCCACGCCAGGGTATCAGTGCTGATGTGGGAGCTGTGCTTCCACCTAAGCCGTTAGTAGGGGACTCTGGCATTTAAGAATGTAGAGAGCGCATCCGTTTTGATCTTGTGGGCAGAGTGAACCTGCAGGGGCCACCCCAGGGAGACACGGAACCTTGGTTCTGACGCACTGCAAGCAAGTAACCAGCTTCTCACTCCAGTTTCCAGTGGTTATTATGTAATATAAATTCCAAGCACATTGTGAATAGAACCTAAATGAAAACATAAACTGTTGCCCACTGACATGTTACCGGAGGTTGCACCATGATGTTGTTTTGACCCCTATGAGCTGACGGCTCCGGCCCTGCTCTGTGCACATTTCTGTCCGTATTCCCCAGCACTCTGGTTGGAGAGAGTCCACATCTTGGTCAGCTCCATGTGGATGTCTTCCTGTACTTCTGCATCAGCACATGGATTTAAGAGTTATGTGGTTGTGAGAGAATGGTGTTTGTGGTTTTTCCCCTCTTTGGCTGGTGGAGGTTAACGATCCTGCTCTTTTTCCTCCGAGACGAGGGCCTCGTTGGTTCGCTTACGGAAGTGCTGCACTTCAAGAACACGGATGCACTGAAGTTAGCAAGTTTATAATAAAGTTAAATATAAATTATTTTGTTTTAAAATGCCTAAAATTTTTCTTTAAGTATTCTAAGCAGCAAACATTAAAATAAGAATATTTCCTGCTAAATGTAACCATACACTTTATTCCACAAAATGTTATTTAACAAGACTGAGGGTTTTTTTTAAGAAAAAATTATTTCCATCCAATATTTAAAGACTTGAATTTTATTTAAACTTGAAAATGACTTTGCCTTAACTTTTGTATAAGACAGCTTAGAGTCCATGGAGCCCGGCCCTGGGTTGGCGTGAGTGGGTCAGAGTTACTCAGTTACTGTGTGGATCTCCTGTCGCTAGTTTTACTGAGTAAGCATACTGTAGTACAAGAGCTAGCAGTAGTTTTTGTAATATACCTTAAAGATCTTAATAAACAGTTGATCTTTTTTTCAGAATGTTGGAAAATCCTGTAAATGCAAATAGTCAATACTGTATTAAATATGTGCACTTGGGAGTGTGCTTTGCCTGTACAGTTGTAAATAATCAGAACATATTAAAAAGGTACCCTACAGAGAAAATTCTGATAAAAATTATTGATATATTATAAATGTTGCTGTTGAGCTGGATGTAGATAAACTAAATGTTGTGGTTTGAATATTATTTTTGATTTGTTGAGATTTTTTTTCTCTTACATCGGTGTGTTGAACTGATTCTGCCTCTTTGCTGCAAAAGGGAATTGGAAAGTCTTATTAAAAGCCTCCAGATGTTTTCATAAAGTATGAAATGCATACTAATCATATCTAATGTGAAAGAGTTTTAAAGTATAGAGAGCAAACCTGGCAGGATCATAAACGAAGGTAAAAAGTAATCTAGTTAACATCACCTGCAGCTAAGCATGATCTACCCGCCAGAGGAAAACATGCCTGACATATGTGACCATTTCTTTTAAAGCAATTGCATTATTCAGATACAGAGAAATAGCCACAGGGCTAGTGTTTTTCAAATGCATTTGAAAGAAACACGGGGATTTATTTTTTTGTAGTTGTCAGTTCACTGACCCCCCCACCCCCCCAAAAAAATCAGAAATAATTAATCTCTGAAACCCAAACTCAATAAAAGCTGGGAGGCAACCCTGAGGCCTGGGCCCTTGAGGTGCATCTTTGCTAGGGAAGGGCCAGGGCGCCATCAGCCATTCCCAGATCACAACCCCCCCTATCCCCAGTGAATCCTTGGTTTTTAGTAATGAGAAGTCCTTTCCCCCAAGGTGTGAGCATTGCAGCGCAGTGTGTGTGGTTAGAGCCAGCGCAGTCCTTCACTTTGTTTGTCAGCTGAAGTGTGAGCTCACCAGCTGCGTGAGGAGGGCGGCGTGTGCAACAGCCAGTCACCGCTGGAGGGCTCTGCTGCCATCTGGTCAATACACTGTAGTACCGCCCAGCCAGCAACAGTCTTTGCATCAAGAACTGAAACCTTGCTCGGGTGTGATTTTTATAGCATCCTTTTTAATTAAGCAAAGGTGAAATACCAGATAGCTATATAATCTCCAAAAAAAAAACCTGATATTATTTTGAGCGTTTCCACTCAGAAGAAAATGGGAATTACAGTACGAAGCTGTGATGGTGCATGTGGGCCATCAAAAAGCGATGAGAGTGTCTTTCATACTTTTTTTTTTTTTTTTTTTAAAGTTAACGCCTTCCTTTATCCCTAGTGGTATCTCAGGTTCTAGAACAGAGATGCAGCAATGACAAATGGCATTTTAACTTGTAAAATCGTGTGATGATGCTTATCATTTTGAAATAGAAGAATAAAAACCTGGCCATTTCTCCAAACATGAATTTCAAATGGAGTAGTTGTTCTCTGAGAGTTAGTGTCTTGACATTTCCACCCAGGCTATCTGTCATCACATCACTGCTGTCACTGGCGGTGGCAGTAAACGTCTTGCATTGCTGTGTTAGTCAGGATCTCTGCAGTTCAGGCTTAAAACCAGTTTAGTGTGCCTGGGCGATGGGTAGTGGTGGTGCATGCCTGTCAGCGTGCCCCGCTGGCGAGCTGTAGTTGCGGCTTGCATGCCTCACGGCCCACTAGAGGCCTGCAGACAATCCAGGCAAGGGCGCTGACCACTGGCAGTTCACAGCGCAGGGGTGCTGCGAAGACACTCTTTGAGGGTTTTGTTTTTGTTCTGCTTCTTTTCATTAAGACTGGAATCAAGCTTACATGTAAACTATTGGTAATTTAAGTTTCCTTTTGTGTCATTCAGTGTAAAACTGTCTTAATTTGAAAAAAAAAAATGTAGGTTATGAAAATAAAGATTTAGGCACTGTTCAATTTTTCTTTTCATTTTTTTTTTAATTAAAATTTCTTCAAGAATGCATCTTTTCTAAACATAGTTTTTCGTCTGTTCCCATAAGTGTGCATGAGAAAGAAAGATGGGCCTCATATATTATTGGATCCTAAAGGCTTCTCACCCACGTTGGGGCCGGCTGCGGCACATGGGGTTCACACTTTGTGTTTTCGTAGTTCAGAGTTGGCGTTAACATCAAGTGCTCATGGGGAGACAGTCATTACCCTGACCGCCAGGATTTACCACAAAAATAGATGTTCCTGTATCAGGGCTTTCATTTGTTTTGTGAAAATGGCACTCTCTCTAAAGCTGTGTTCCCGAAGCTGTTTGGAACTGACATTGGGCCCTCTTGGTGACAGACTCACCCTCAGGCAGCAATGATGCCTGCACTAGGAAGAGGCTGGCAGGAGGCGGGCCCCTCCTGTGCCAGGCACTGAGTGGATGGGGGTCTGATGAAGAG